TCCTTCCTTCCTTCCTTCCTTCCTTCCTTCCTTCCTTCCTTCCTTCCCACTTAGCTCTTAGACTTATATACTGCTTCCCAGTGCTTTCCAGCCCTCTCTAAGCGGTTTACGGAGTCAGCCTCTTGCTCCCAACAATCTGGGTCCTCATTTTACCCACCTTGGTAAGATGGAAGGCTGAGTCAACCTTGAGCCTGGCGAGATTCAAACTGCCAAATTGCTAGGCCGCCGGCAGTCAGCAGAAGCAGCCCGCAGTACCGCATTCTCACCACTGCGCCACCGAGGCCCTGACAGTCAGGATGAGCTCGCAGGCGGAAAGGTAGCTCTTCCAGCCCATTCTGACCACCGCCACCGCCAACCCCTATTCTTTTTTGGCCGGGCCCGCCCGCGAGCGCCAGCAAGCAGCAATACGCTCCGAGTGATGGTACATGAGGACGCCCAGCAGCGTGAGAGCGATGCCCAGGTAGCTCAGCAAAGTCAGGTGGCTTCCGAAAAGCCAGTGGGAGAGAAGCAGGTTGCCCACCACGTTAAAGTTCCCCAGGACGTGGATGGTGAGGGCGGAGGTCAGCGAGAGGATGCAGAAGCTGGCCAGGTTGTACAGGACCGAGCCCAGGCAGCTGAGCAGCACGCAGGTCCAGAGGCTGGCCTCGTAGTCCAGCAGGCCCTCCCAGGCTGAGCCCACCTCCATGCCCAGTGCGGCCACAAAGAGGAGGCAGAAGCTGGGCAGCGAAGTCAGGCACAGGAGCCTCAAGGAGTCCAGGTGGTCTTCCTGCAAGAGGGTACCTGTGGGGCAGACAAGGGGGTGGGGAGGGGGGTCAGCAAAGCTTCAGGAGCTGAGCCCGCAGAAAGCAGCTGTCAACTCATACAATATTTCCCTGGTCTTTTACAGTTGCCAACAGAAAGGGAGGAAGGGGGAGCAGTGCAGCAGCTTGCAAACCGAAAGTGCATTCCATAAATGTTTTTAAAGATAGTAACTAGGTGACTGAAGTTTCTGCCGGGCAAAATTCTAACTGGAGAGCATGACTGATGACTCCTGGCTATGAAGATGTCCCATTGGAGAATATGAATTACGATACACCCAGGGGGTGGGGGGGAAACCAGGGTCAAGGGTGACAATGAATGATGTGCCTCAGAGTCGGCTACACCCAGGCAATGCCGGCATGTTTACGCCTAATAAATCCTTTGGAAGTTTTGGAAGTTTGGCTTGAGACTCGTGATTTAATTGGGGGTAACTGTCGGAATCCTGACAGCAACCAAGGGCGACCGTCCCGTTGGCCAAGGCAGCAAAAAGAAACTCCTGAGTCATACTCCTCAACTTATGACTGCAATGCACGTAGTCCTCGACTTACGACCACAATAGAGCCAAACATTTATGTTGCTAAGCGAGACATTTGTTACGGGAGTTCTGATCCGTTTTACAACCTTTCTTGCCATCGTTTGTTTTTTTTAAACAATTTTATTTGGGTTTTCACAAAACACACACACATACACACACACACACACATATATATATATAACATCTTTTTTAGTGAACAGCATGGTTCCAGGTTTTCATGTTTCCATACAAATATAATTTCAGTTACAGACAGACAGACAGACAAACAGATAGATAATGGATAGATAGGTGGATGGATAGACAAATGGATGATAGATAGATAGATAGATAGATAGATAGATAGATAGATAGATAGATAATAGATAGATAAGTAGATAGATAGTAAATAGGTAGGTAGGTAAATAGGTAGATAGAGATAGATAGATAGAGAGATAGAGATAGATAGATAGATAGATAGATAGATAGATAGATAGATAGATAGATAGATAGATAAGTAGATAGATAGGTAAATAGGTAGGTAGGTAGATAGGTAGGTAGATAGAGGATGGATGATGGACGGATGGACAAATGGATGGATGATAGACAGACAGACAGATTAGACACACACACACACAGGCTCAGCAAATTGACATTAGAACAATGTTTCTCACCCTTGACCCCTTGAAGGTGGGCAGACTTTAACTCCCAGAATTCCCCAGCTGGGGAATTCTGGGAGTTAAAGTCGCCCCCCCTCCTTCCAGCGGCCCCGTTTGAGGACCCCTGCCTTCGCCACCCCCACCCCCTCGGGTCACTTACTTTGCTGAATGGACTTCAGGCCTCGCAGGAAAGTGGCGGCGAAGAGGAAGCAGCAGCCGGCCCGGTCGAAGTGCACCTCCGCCACGAAGCTGAGGGAAGCCCCCAGGCAAATGGGGCCCATGGCGGCGTACTGCAGGGGGTGGTGGCGCTTCCGCAGCAGCAGCTCTGAGAGGGCCAGGGTGAAGAGCGGCGTGGTGGTGTAGACCATCTGCGCAAAGTCCAGCTGGACGTGGTTGAGGCCCAGGTTGCCGAACGCCACGCTGGCGCAGAAGGTCAGGCTGAGCAGGAACACCCGGAGCTGGGCTTTGGGGTGGAGGGACGAGGGGACGGAGCCTCCTGGGCGGAGCCAGGCGAGGGGCCTGCCCACCACCACGGCCGTCAGCATGTGGAAGGAAGAGAGCAGCACCGGGTAGCGGAAATTGTGGACGGCAAAGATCCACTTGTTCAGGCCGGACATGGTGGAGCCCGTGGCTAGCCACGTCAGGACGGTGGCCACCAGGGGCAGGGCGTGGCGCCACCGGGCGAGCAGCCTCAGCCCCCAGCGCTGCCCGGCATCCTGCTTCCAGGGTGGGGCTGGCCAGGCTTCAGCGGTCGAGCTCATCACGGCATCGTGTTGCTTCCCCGCCGGCAGGCACATTGGGGACGGTGAGCTGGCACGGGCGGAACGGAGTTCAATTGCCACCCGGGACGGAGTCCGGAGAGCCCAGCGAGGATCTCCGCTGGTCTGGAGCGCCCTTGCCTAGTCAAGGAGGCTTCTTCTAGCAATCCCTCCTTTTACCTCCTCCTTCTTCTCTCCTTTCACCTCCTTCTTATCTCCTTTCGCCTCCTTCTCTCCTTTTGTCTTCTTCTCCTCTTTAACTTCTTCTTCTCCTCTCCTTTCACCTCCTTCTTCTCTCCTTTCACCGTCTTCTCTCCTTTTGTCTTCTTTTCCTCTTTCACTTCTTCTCTCCTTTTGCCTCCTCCTTCTCTCCTTTCACCTTCTTCTTCTATCCTTTTGCCTCCTTCTTCTCTTCTTTCACCTTCTGCTCTCCTTTTGTCTTCTTCTCCTCTTTTACTTCTTCTCCCCTCCTTTCACCTCCTCCTTCTCTCCTTTTACATTCTTCTCCTCCCCTTTCGCCTTCTTTCCTTTTGCTGCCTCCTCCTCCTTCTTCTCTCCGTCCCTCCCTGTGAGTCACCGGGATCGGATTTCCTCTCCTTGTGTTTGCGGTCTTCTCCCGCGGCCCCGTCTAGAAAACGGGCTGGCAACTCCCAGGATATTTGGAAACTTGGAAACAAAACGGCCTCCTTCTTCTCACAGGGCCGGCCTAGCTAGAGACGTCCTCATTCAGCTCGGGCAAGGAGACCCTTTGGAATAAGGGCACGAAAGAAGCCTCCACCCCAGGGTTCCAGCCTCCTTGGCACGCCCAGGGCCCACTGCTCCCTCCTGCAGCCGGCCGGCTTGGGCTCACCCACGTGCTTGGGATCCTAGCAGAGAGGAAGCGACGTCGCCAAGTTGAGGCCGGCAGAAAGCTCCACCTTCGGGTAACCGGGGAGTGGACGGGAGAGAGGACGGCACCATCTACTCCCTGAGGCCAATCCTGTGCCAATGCCAGGTGGATGGAAGTTGGGTCTGGCCAGGCCAGCTCATCGAAGGCTTGTGGCTGCGGAAATAAATCAATAAAATAAAATAAATGCGGATGGGAAGGGCAAGGAAAATCTGAGTTAAGATGTTCCTAAACTCCCAGTCGTCCTAGAAACCCAGCAAATACCATGTCACCATCCATGCTTAGCTTGTTGCAAGGAGAAGCCGCACAACAGGATCTCCCTGCACTCCTGCTTGGGCGGAGGGTTGGACTAGATGACCTACAAGGTCCCTCCCAACTCTGTTAATCTGTAATCAAAGCATCCTCGGAGATG